GCGATGATTTTTCAAACACAGGGGTAGGACAATCCGGCTAAAATTTATTTTTATTTTTGTCTTGAAAATTTTTAATTTAATACAAAGTTAAATATTTTTTAATAATAATGATAGATTGCACTCTGAGGTTTGCCATTGCCTGTCGAAGGGCGACAGCTATTAAAAAAAAATTTTTTATTTTAATTTTATAATGGACCAATTTATGAAAACGGAGCATTCCAACGTGATGGGTGAGGCATTTTAACTCGTTTTTGCTCAAACTTTATGGCATTCCTTTCTAACCATTTTTCGGATAAGTCTCAAAATCTTACAACTTGAAGTCAGATATCAGAATGTTTTTAATGTCTAATATACTTAAGAATTAAGTATTAGAGTAAAAAAATAAATGCTCAAAAACATTGGGATAGTAAACGCAAGAAAATTGTCAAAACGGTTTTATAAATGAGTGTGTTTCATTTAGTGTGTAATTTTGTGTAAGTATGCATTTTCACATTTACATTAAACCGAAAATTCAATAAATAAAATGAAGCTGATTCTAATGAGATTTTAAATATTTTCATATTTACAAAAACTTTAATTTCAAAGATGTTGAGTTCTATCAAATATGGTAAATGCAAAGGGTTAATTTCTTTGTTTACATTTTTTGACATTACAGTCAGGTATGAGAGAGCTCGACTGAATTGTCACTTCCACCTTGCTTTTGTTTAAACTACTGCGAATATGGAATGGAATAGAGTTCCAGATGCGGATAGCATTGACAAAGAATAGCCGTGCAGAGCTGAGATAATTGTAGGTAGGAACAGTCAAGTCCTTTACTCGAGTGGATTTGGGGAACGTTAATTTTTCATATAGATATTTGGGTGCCTTATCTGTCATGAGATGAAAAAGGAATATACAATTTCTAGCTTTAAGATATTCAGAAATTTTGCAGCCAAGTAGGCGCGCTCTCCAAGCGGAAATATGCTCATATTTTGCTAGCCCAAACACATAGCGCGTGATCTGGTTAAATACTACATCTATTTTGTGAATTGATTGGGAATCTAACCTGCTGTGGACTACCTCAGAATAACAGGTAATTGCCATTATAAGTTGGATTGCGAGTTTACGTCTGATTTCTATCGGTATGAACGGAGCAGACATTCGTAAATTCCTTAAAGTATTATAGACTATGCCTACAGTTGAATTCACATGGTCTATGCAGGTAAGGCCAGTGTTGATAATAAACCCAAGGTTATTTACTTTTGACACAAATTTAATTTGTTTGCCACCAATGTGTAACGATGGAATGGTATTGAGGATGCAAAACACGTGAGTAAAATGAGTTCTACTTGTTTCATATGAATATTTATTGTACTTTACTTTATTGTCAAAGTAAGGTTAAAACAAATTGGCTGTGACGGGTGGGACATCCAATAAGCATTTCTTTGAAAGCTGCAGCACTGTTTTGAAGTCCTTGAGGTGTACTTTGTCTTTGGATAATTATTATTTGCATTGCATTAACGAGATAATACTATATGAGAGATACCGTCCTACGTCCTACGGTTGCGTTTATAACAATAAAAATAGAGAAAATAGTGAATACTAAATCGATAAAAATCGACCTATGATAACCTGTGGTATCGTCTTCGCTGAAATGACCCTAAGGTAAAGTTATTAAAGCTATTTATGAAATATATTTTAATAATAAATATTTTGCAGGAGAAAACGAAGCCCTCCAAATCCATTACCGGTGGAAGATAATTAATTAAAATAGGACGTGTAATTCTTAGCAAATTCGCTAAAGAAACCATGGGTCTAAAATCAATTTGGAGATTGCTGAATTGCGTGAATTGGTTTCGAAGAAGATGTCAAAATTTTCAGTGCTGGGCCCTCCTGTGGAAGTTTTAAGAAAACGATAAGTGCAGAAATGGACTCCTCATACCAAAAAACCCTTATAGCATATTTTTGTACAAAATTAAAGCATTACTTTACGAAACTACGGCGAAATGCTAAGAAACCTATTTTAGCAATTTGGCAAACCCAAATTGATTTTAGAGCCATGGTTTCTTCGGCAAATCTTCTTGGAACTACACATAGAATCCTTCTGTGGAAATTTAAAAGATCTTCGCCTCCCAGTGAAATTATAGCACCAGCATATCACATCCAAAGAATTCAAGCATTCACTCCGAAAAAAAAACATGGGAACGAATAAGAGTAATTCATTCACAATCATAAGTGAAAGTATTCGTACAATAATAATTTAAAAGTATGATTACAGTAAAACATATTCAGATATTGCCCCAGATTTATGTTTATCAAGACGAGCAGTGCAGTACATTGTTAAAAGTTTCAAAAGAATGGTTCCACTGAGACAAAAACGTGTAATCCCGGCCGCATATCGGCCGAGATTTGCGAATTTTGACCGCAGTCATAAAGGAGAGTCGACGAAGTGCGGTTAGAAATTCGTCAACACTATGGTGTGCCGGGAAAGGGTAACAGATGGGCCTTAAATGGACCAGAAGAAATTTACAAAAATTGGGTTACACAATCTTCTTTTTGTCTAGGCTTTAAAAAGCCTTGATTATTGTTTTTAAAAATAATAGGTTAAGATAGGCAAAAACTAGACAGAATTGCGATGAATGAAAATTTGATTTTTGCGCTGGCTCCACCAAAGGTAATACGCAGACAAAACGAAGCCTACCACAAGGACTGTGTATTGTAGATTGTAATCTTTCCAGAAAGAACCATGGAGTGGGGGTGCATGCAAGGCCTTCGAAAGCCGAACCGGTCTCCGGTACATGCCGCGTTTTATTGGCCTCCTTCAAAAGTAAACTCGATTGCGTGAAACATTAGTTCAATTGTTCAATTCAAATTGTAAATTTTTTGATGAAGAAATACATATATATACTTATAATAGTTTTTGGTAGCACTTATGCTTACTTTGGTAGTTGGATTTGGATGTTATCAGAAATTGAATCAGTCGAAGAAAACCTTTCGGGGTTTTTGGTCGGCGAACATGGAAATTACTGAGCCGAAATTCATGTTCTAAGACTTGACAAAAGATTTTGGCCCATGGTAGAACGTAAAAAAATTCTTTACTTAAGACAACGGACTGAATGAACATTCCTCTTCAACCACACTGACTGGAATAGTGCAAAATATTCGTAATACTATGCAGATGTTAGGAAATAGTACTTCTGTCTTCATTTCATGAAATTTATTCAGCAATCGTAATGGTGTTAGTGAATCAAATCCCCAATTTTCTACGTAGATAGCTTTGAGATGGATGATTTCATCTATTAAACCCGTAGAAACGTCGACGCGATAAATCTCTCAGAACGTAGCTGCCTTTTCTCTGAGGTGTCTTTCCGTCAACTCCTGATACTTCCACTAAATTTTGTTGCAAGGTCTTTTACGTCCTTGAAACGCCTTGTTATGTTACCAATCAAGCAGCCCACGAGGACGTAGAAAACCCCCTACTCGAATTGAGTTTCAGAATCGAATGAAGATGCTTCCTCAGGTGATTCGTCAAACTGTCGCTTCCTAATTTTGCGTATTTTCTCTGCGAACGTGTCTGCAATGCCTACACTCCTAGCTACAAGTCTTTTAGACCAATCAATAGATAATAGAAAATCATATTAGATCCACCATTATGCGGAACAAACCCCTGCACACCTGTCAGCATGCATATAGGGCAGAAAGGTCCACGGACACAGCCCAGTATCAACTGACAACCGAAATTCGGGTGCCATCGAATGTGGCGAATCAGTGCTCGCGGTTTTCTCGATATAGAAGGAGCGTTTGACAACACGTCACACCCTGGAGTGCGCAGGGCACTAGAGAGGAGAAACATGCAGCCAGCGATCTGCAATTGGGTGGGTTGACAGAGTTGCAAAACTTCAAACAATAAAGGGCTGCACGCAGGGAGGGGTATTATCCCCTTTTCTGTGGAGCTTAGTAATGAATGAACTCCTTCAACTTCTCTCCAACAACGGTATCCGCTTGCGGATGATATAGTGATCATTGCCAGGGGAAAGTTTGAGAGCACCCTCTGTGCCATCATTGAAAGAGGCTGAAGATTAACGAAGGGATGGTGCGACAACTTAGGGCTTATCATGAATCCCGCCAAACCGCCATCATTCCTTTTACTACTTTTTATGTATGAGCGCCTGGTATTGGGGGAAAAAATCGCTTTCTAAAAATAAAAAATTTTTTCGTTACATAAAATTAACCGCAAGTTTCCTTTAAAAACATGAAGTTGGTTTTAAAAACCATGGACTGAATATCTAAAGCGTACTTTTGGTCATAGGTAATGCTTTACCAAATCGTACCAGTGGTAGAAAAACAGAAGCAAAACGACTATTTTCTACTATAAAGATTTTCTTCTAGTGTCAAGGCATATTTTTTCAGTGTAGTACTGAATGATCAAAAGTGTTTGCATTCAATCAAAATTTACAATCACGATGCTTGCGAATGCTTCGGTTACATTGACATTCTAAACTGAATGGAACTCTACCATTCAATAACACATTACGTTTGTTTTTGCTTCAAAATAATTTAAGCCACTCAGGAATGAGATTTTTCGCGATTAACCGTGCTATGAAATTCTGCAATTACAAGAACTTCTTCACGGAAAATTTGAAGTTTAAATAAAAAAAAAATTATTTTTTGGCGGGACGAAGTTCGCCAGGTCCGCTAGTTCAATAATAATTTCAGGATTTTTTCTAAAGTTTTCTGATGAAATCTTGACCGATGCTCCGCTAAAATTTAAGTGCCTTCGAAATTCTTAATTTTTATAAAAAAATGTGAAAAATCGTATACATATTAGAAAAAAACATTTATGCATTAAAAATCACTAAAAAATGTTTTTCATGAAGCTTTTCAGCACGGTTCATATTTGTTTGAAATGTCAGGCTACTCTGGTCCTCAAGGCCTCATACATATGTATGTATACTGTAAGTAATTTCTTAAACCGATTTTTTTTTCTCATAAATATTTGTATACTATTTGTATATTTTCTATTGAGTAGTATGTATATACATCTATCATTATTAACCTAATATGTTATAGGTTAAGGAGTATTTTCCATATCCTTGTTTGCTTTTTGTGACACGTTGCTTGCTTTCGGCAGAAACAAACCCAAAAATCCCGCAATAATTAGCGCCACTGATGGACTGAATAGAGCAAATTCACAATGTGTCTCGATGAGTGCGCCTAAAATGTTGGATCCCGTAACGCTACCGATACGGCCAATCATGAGAGAAATGCAAACGGCCATAGCCCTACGAAAAATTTTAAAATTTAGTACTGAATAAGTTTTGCGCTTAAGTTTTTCAAATCATAAATTCTCGTTTATGCACTTACCTTAAATTCGTTGGAAATATTTCCACTACAATTGCATTGACCACTGTAGTGCCCAGGCCACAGCAGAGGTTAACCACAAAGAGGTATATAGCCAGAAGAGGCATTTTGATAGAGAAAGCCACAACGCCACAAGCTCCACACACAAACAGAATCGTAACTGCAATAAAATGAACATAAAGATATGGCATCGCTTCTATGTTCATAACTATGTACTTTAAAAATGTAACTACTTACAAAGTATTGGTTTGCGACCAAATTTGCTGATGGCATACATTACCAGTAACAGTAGCGATACATAAATAAATTCCAGAAATAAAGTGTGTTTATATGTCGAAAGTTCCAAGTGCGTAACGCAACTATCATCCTATCGTTGTGTTGGAGAAATACTACTTTCAATCAAATTTAAATACGTATTACGGTGTTTACTTGAGACGATTTTAGAGGCAATTATTTTAATCAAAAGTTAGCTGCCGACCAACTTCATTTAGGGCCGGTTTTTCAATGTCTGGTTAACACTAATCTGCGGTTAAACAGCGTTATCGACGTCTTCGACTCCATGCATACAACAGGGAGTCGGTAACGTCGATAACTATGTTTAACCGGAGATTAGTGTTAACCAGACATTGAGTAACCGGCCCTTAAAGTGATTAGTTAAAAGGCCGTTTATATCAGGCGATTGTTGCTCTCAACTAATATTTGCCCTTAAAATCGCCTCATATAAACGTAATACAAGACAAGTTGAACATACATTGTCATTTGCGACTGTAAGATTACCAGATTTTGCAATTTTGATAATGTTACAAAGTAATTCAGGCTCCGAAGTTTTCTCTGTGTATTGCATTGTAAGGTTAAGGATGTACGGGAACCACATATATACGCCATGGGCACTAAAGAATATTATGTACAATATGAGACTAGATAATAATGTTTTCCGGATGTGTTCACTCATAAAGAGTGGTGCGGTTTGTTTCCACATGGATTTCATTATGGAAACTAGGATATTTCCCTTTTCGGTGCCCTTGTCTTTGGCTATCGGTGTATCGGCATCTGGTAGCAGGGTGATATCCTGCAAATATTAAAAATTGAAATACACTTGGGTTACATGAAATTATTATTTTTACAAAAAATTCAATTAGAGGTTTAATTTTTAATTCCCCCTATTTGAAAACGCCCTCATCGCAAATCAATTGTGGTCTAATTTAATGTTGGAATAGTGACCTTATGTAGCCGAGCGATAAGAAGTGCATACTACCTTCATTTAATCGATTTTGCCTTTTATTAAAATGTAGCATAGAAGGTTTTTTAAGTCCGGGAATCATCGAAAAAGTGCCGAATAAATACCGAAAAACCCCGAAAAAGTTCTGAAAAACTTCCAAAACTTTTCGAAAAATCTCGAAATATAAAAGAGGTAGAATATCAAAAAAGTCCTGAGCAATTGTGGAAAAATCCTGAAAAAATCTTATAAGTCTTAAAATACCAAAAGCTCCTTAGAAAAATTGCCAGAGAAACCTATAATGGGAAGCGTTAAACGGCGTTTTAGTTAGATTTGTTAGAAAGATTTTAAAGATGCAGTTTTGTAGCCCTTTCAATTTTAGTGCAAGCTTGAAAAAGTTAGGATTTTTCGCATTTTTTTTTTTTGCTGACGGAGTCACGCATTTTCTTCCACGTAAAGTATGCTCGAAAATTTTTCCGAGCTCGAAATTTTTACGAAACTTTGTTGAATAGCTTTAATATTGCACAAAGTTTGAAACATGAATTTAAAATAAAATTGTAATCCTCTTGAAGTTTTACTACCACGTTCGAATACTAACGTTCGGCGATTATTTCGCTGAGTGTTATCAATCCCCAAAAAATCGGCATCCTTGCTGAAAAAAAGGATGGTGAAATTTTTTAAGTAAAGGAAAAAACCATATTCTAAAAAATGGTACGACAATATTTTTCCTGTCTCTTTGATTTCAAAATCTAAAAATATCTTTTAATTACAGACTCTGGCTTCGTATAACAATATCAAGTTTTTTTTTACCTCGAATGGGGACACAATCTCCTTATTTTTGGTATTTATCCGGTACATACGTTCAAGCACCTTAATAGCTTCATCAGGATGTCCCGCAGAGAGCAAATATTTTGGACTCTCCGGCAGGAAAAACATTGCTAAACCACATAGAAAACCAGGTACACCGCAAGCGAGAAAATAAGAACGCCATGGCTTGAAAGTTATATTAATCAACGGCACAAAGAATTCCCATTCTTGATTGATGAAAATCCAAGCGATGATGGGAAAGAATATAGCGGCAGTCGCACTTATTAAAGCACCGCACAGTATGGCACGATTACGATATTTTTGGCAATGAAACTCGCCAAGGTAAGCAAAAATCGTTGCAGAGCCAGCCGAAAGTCTGCAAAAATATTGAAAAGCATTAAATAATATGTATGTATGTATGTTATGTATTATGTACTCAAGTATATGTACTTACAATATTCCACCTACAAATCGCAGGATAGCGAATGAAATAAAATTCGGCGACAGACTAGAGCATATTGTCACAATATATCCCAGTAGAAGAGCCGGTTGCATTATCCGCTTGCGTCCCGTTGTATCGGCTAGAAATCCCCAAAAATGTGAACTCGCAATGACGCCGGCAAAGGACACAGCGCCCAATACGCCCTGCTCCTGGTGTGACAAATTCAAATCGCATTCTAACACTGGCAGTGCAAAACTAACGCCGACCGATTCGAGCACAACATTTTTAAGTACTAGGCCGGAAAATATTATAATGCAAATATTGAATTTTCCAAAACCTACATGAGGGAAGTCCAAGGTAAGTATTGAAATTGTTTTTTTTTTTTTAAATAATAAAACAAACATTTTGGCTGCATTTCTTTATTCATTCTGAACGTTGGGAATACACTTTTTTGTTTAATTATTCTTTAGAACTTTCCTGATGATATGTTAACATATATTTCAAACGCATTCTGTTTATTCTGGTTGTGAATGGGATTATCTGGAATGTATAAAGAAACGCAGCCTTTGTTTTGTTCAACATTTACACTCGCGGCAAAAAGGTATTGGCTTAGAGAATTTTTCACAATACTATATGCAACAATTTTTATTTTTTTCCACTCATTTCTTTTTATAAAAATATGAAAAAACGCTACGTTGATCTTTGGAATTTTTTTTGTTTTTTTTTTTACTTTGTATGGAAAAAAGTGAAACTCCTTCAACAAAAAAATTATTTAGCAACGTCCAACTTGCATCTTTGTATACCAGAATTTAATGTACTACAAAACTGCACACTAAAAAAAATTCTAAAAAATATGTTTAAAATTTGTATTAAAATGTAAAGTTTAGAAATTTTGTTTTCATTTTTGTTGTAGGTTTTTATAAGAAATTAGAAATTGTTGCATATGTTTTAAAAAATTTGGAGAATTAGAGAATTTCGTTTACTTGGGGACCAGCATTAACGCCGATAATAATATCAGCATGGAAATCCAACGCAGAATCACTTTGCCACACAAGTGCTACTTTGGATTGAGTAGGCAATTCAGGA